GTTGTTTAAGAACAGGGATGAACATGGTGGACTAAATTTAATCAATGATTTACTATTTCAAGAGAGTGGACAGTTTGAAAATTTCGTTCGCATGGCTTATTCTGACTTCAAGTATTTAGTTTCATTGATTCGTTCGCAAGTAGAAAAACAAACCACGCATTGGAGGAAACCTATAAGTGTAGAGGAAAGATTAGCCGTGACTTTACGTTTTCTGGCCACTGGGGATTCGTATACTACGAGTAGTCTACAATACACATTCAAAATCTCAAAATCTACAATATCTAGTATTATACCAGAAGTATGCATTGCATTAACAAGCGTATTGTAGTCAGACTCATGTCAAGGTAAGAATGAAATGTAGGTAATAATTCATAATTATACTTAGTCWTAAATAACTACAGGACAAAGCACATAATAATCTTAAAAATCACTAAATATACACTAAATGATTATTTATTATAATGATGTTTTTTTTAAACTAATTACAGTAAAAAATAAATAAAATTATTTAAAAATTAAGACATTTTCACTTTTTTATTGCATAAAATGTAATATAAACATATTAGGAATTTAACATAATAATATGTATATTGTATATGTATATACCTTAATTGATTCCACTTACACGAGTATATAACTAAGGCTATTTAGGTAGGTACATATAATATTAATATATTATATTCTAATTGTTTGTAACATTAAATGTGCATGATAATTAATTGTATACACTTTAAAATCAAATTTTAATTTATATAATATGTGTATTACACATTGTGTAAGTATAAATATAAAAAAAAAAAAAATAGAAACCTTTATATAGTTAAAAAAAGATTAATATCTTGTTACTATCCTTGTAACTTTAGTAATATAATATGTTATTTAATTAAAAAATGTACAAAAACTTAACCTACCCTAGTCAGAGGTCCACCCCACCCCCTAATGTACAGCAGAGCGATACCACTTACCCGCTTTTTTTTTTTTTAAATTAAATTTTTAGTTATATAGGTACTTAACTGTTTAATTTTATATATGGACAATTATAATGAGATAGATTATTTTGAATTTACTGATGGATTATATTGTACACTGTAGTGCACCTTAAACTGGATTCAGATCATAATACAATAGTTCAGACAATTTTCTGTATACGTAATTAATACATAATTATGACATATTATTTTTGTACATTTTAGATTCTGAGCGGAGCGATGAATTTATTGGTTTACAATGATTAGTGTTTTTTATTTTTGGGTCTGTGTACACAATAAATAGTCGAAATAACGATTCAATTTTCCACTTCAGTATCTTGTTCGATGAGAAAGTGAATATTGTTGGTGCATTGAAGAGGTCAAAATTTAAAATTCCCAGTAATTTTCAAAAGCACCGTGAAACACTAGGAGAATTCATCAAAAAAAAAGTACTGTCATACGAAAAAAAGCGGGTAAGTCGTGGATGTCGCTCTGCTGTACTGTAGGTTACTGTAAGGATGGGATTAAATTTGAATGGAATGATAGGTATCATTGTATACGAAAAACGATTCTGAACGGAGATGATTTGTCAGTCTAGGATATATTATATTTAAATATTGTCATATATTCTATTTTG